TGAAAGAAAAACTAATAAAAGAAAAGCTATGAAAAAGAAAAAGAAAAGCAAACAAAAGAAAAAAAAATGATACGATGGAAAAATAGAACCTGATTAAGCGTTGTAGATAGGAGCCACAAGAATGATCTCCTCGAGATGGTCTACTCATTACACATAACGTTTCAACCATTGTCCAATAACTTGGAGGACCCTCCCAAGAATGCACGTTTCAATCCTTCAAAAGGTGGGGATAACTCTACACTTGGCATCTCCATTGAAAATGGCTTCAAATGTTTTTTATCATATAGCAACTCCTCAAAGCGTGGTTGTAAAAATTTTCTGTGTTTATTCTACATAACATTAGAAATAGAAGAAACATTAGAATGATCATTAACAAGATAGTTCAAAAAGTCGAAATCTAAATCAAAGTCACCAAAGAGGTATTCTAAAGATTTAGAATTTTCTCTTTCATATACTTCCTCAACCAATGAATCTATCATGTAGGTTTGATAACACTCATCATCACCATGTAGTTGCTTTCCAACATGAAAAATATTCACCTTAAAAGTCATATTCCCAAATGAAAGTTTCATCAAACAATTCCTATAATTAATGAGAGCATTAGCAGTAGCAAGAAATGGTCTTTCTAAAATAAGTGGAATCTTTAACTTACTATTAACTTTAGACTGAGTATCCAAAACAAGAAAATCAACAGGATAATAAAATTTATCAATCTGAAGCAAAACATCTTCTACTATCCCTCTTGGTTTCCTATAAGAATGATCAGCCAACTGTAACTCCATAGATGTGGGCTTTATCTCTCCAAGACCTAGCGACAAATAAACTAAATAAGGCATTAAATTCACACTTGCTCCTAAATCCAAAAGAGCTTGACCAAACTCTTGTGACCCAATTTGACAAGAAATTGTTAGGCACCCTGGATCTTTATACTTTGGTAGTGCTTTCTGCTCAATCACTGCACTTACTTGTTCTATTAAGAATGCAATTTTCTTGACATGGTGTTTCCTTTTCATGGTGCATAGATCCTTGATTACCTTGGCATAAGTTGGTACCTATTTAATCACATGCAACAAAGGTAGATTTATCTTAACTTGTTTCAAATGGTCTAAAATCTCACCTTGGTTATCTGAAATCATTCCAGTTCTAAGAGCTTGAAGGAAAGGAACTCAAATTGGAACCTCCTTCTCAGGTTTTTCCAACAAGTCATCTTCATGGCTACTTAGAGTAGCATCCTTCAATTGAGCTGATTTTTGCAAATAACCTTACCAGTACGAGTAGTGATAACGTTGACCCCATTAATGTTCTCCGAATTAGAGGTAAATTCCTACACCAAATGTAAATTTTTTGGATTAGCTTGAGATTGAGATGGAATCTTACCTCGCTCTTGGATAGCAAGGGCATTGGTCAACTTAGTTTGTTGACTCTTGATATCCTTGTTTTCTTCAACCACCTATGTGAGAATAGAATCAAATCTTTGTTTAGTCTTAGTTTGTGCCTCCATAAATGCCTTAAGTGTTTCCTCTAAAGCATTCCTATCTGGTCATGCATTGTATTAAGGTGTAGGGTAAGACCTAAGTGGTTGAGCTTCACTATTCCAAGTATTGCTATATGATGTGGGATGATTCTAATCATTCCTCCAACTAAAATTGGGATGGTTTCTCTAACTAGGATTGTACGTCTTTGCATAGATTGAAAAGATTTCCTAACCATTTCCAATGCATTGCATTGTTCTTCATAAACCCCTCTCATCTCACCATCGGTTGGGCAATCTTGACCTAAATGATCCAATCCCCCACAAACAAAACATGGAGCCTAAGTTTCTACCCTAGCAAATGGGTGGGCAGCTCTATTATTTTTCATCTTTAAGGTCTCAAGTTCCCTAGTTGCAGCTTCCAATTGGGCTTTAAGGTTATCTTTCTCCCTAAGGTGGTAAATCCCAAATGATCGTGACTAGCTAGTACTATCAATGGCACTAGGTCCTATCTAAGTGTGAGCTTTTTCAACTAACTCATTTAAATAATCTATGGCTTCTTCTAGGTCCTTATGCAAAAATTCCTCATTATACATCATCTCTATGAATTGACACTCCCTACTAGTTAAACCCTCATAAAAATAACTAACCAACCTTCAAGTTTCATACCCATGATGTGGACACAAGTTTTGCAATTCTTTAAACCTCTCCCATGCTTGGTATAAGGTTTCACAATCCTTTTGAGAAAATGTTGAGATCTGTCTTCTAAATTATTAGTCTTGTGATGTGGAAAGTACTTGTTAAAGAAAGCTTGAGTCATATCTGCCCATGTACCTATAGATCTCGGTCTCAAAGAATATAACCAAATTTTTGCTTTATCTTTCAAGGAGAAAGGAAAGAATTTCAACCTAACTGTGTCTATAATGTCAACTCGACTATGAAAAGCAGATACTACCTCCTCAAACTCCTTAATATGCACATATGGATTTTCATTCTCTAAACCATGGAAACTAGGCAAAAGCTAAATCATTCCAGGTTTGAACTCAAAGTGTGGTGTGTTAGGAGGAAACATTATGCATGATGGTGTAGCTGTTCTAGTGGGGTGCAAGTAGTCTTTCAAAGTCCTAATAGGTTGATCCCCATCTTGACTCATGGTTTCAAAATTGAAGGATGAATTAGACTCGACTTTTTCTTTTTGAAAGGGTGGTGGATCTAATTTAATAAATCTCCCTTTTTCGTCTCTTGGTCTATTCATACACTCTAATCTACTTTTTTTTTTTAAATGAAGAAAATAAAATAAAACTAAGAAAGTAAAATAAACTAAAGAAAATGAAGCAAATAAAAGAAATAAAAGAAAAGTGAAGACTGTTCAAACTCTAATTGTCAATTTGGACCCAATTTGAGAAAGTTGAAATCATTGATCTTCTATTATTAATAAATCCTCTATTTTGATTTCCAAGAGTGCCCAAAAAAGAGCTGTTACAAGCCTCCAAAGCTCTCTCTTAATTCTAAATTTGGATGGGTATTTATAAGATTTTAGAAACCTTAACTGAAATAGAAGTGAGATCCACACCCAAAATAATAAATTAAACACAGATTTTGTGAAAATTGCATAAGGGGTCAACACCTTTAACTAGGTACCGACACCTTCTGTTAAGTGAGATTGAAATCACCGGGTCAAGTTTTTGGCTTTCCAAACAATTTCTGTTAATGGTAAAATGACAGTTCTAGTCCCCAACTTTTAAACTTCACACAACTTAATCCTCAACTTTTTGATCTCTGCAATTTGCTCCTAAAAATTATGATTTCTTTCAATTAAATCCTTTTCTACACAAAGAATGAAAATTATGTAAAATCTCATAAAACTTGTCTAAATATCAATAATATCAAAGAAAAAATTCTGCATTAATATCTATATAAATTCAGCTCATCAAATTCTCCTAAACATAAGTTTTACTTATCCTCAAGTAAAATAAAAGACCAATAACCAAAAAAAAAAAAAAAAAACCTAACTCACTTTCGTAGGAATCACGATTGCATTTAGCGTGTGCAACAATCTTTTAAACCCCTAGGTCACCCTAGTGGACGAGTTGTGTCTTGTGAGGGTTTTCAGTGGATCTACCCACAAAATCCCAATGCAAGAATGCAACTATATGATATGCATGCAAAGAAAATTTAGGAATTAAAATTTAATTAGATACAAAGTCTCAAATATTCAAGAGTTCTCATACACTCACTTAAAGTCAAATACTCCATCTTATTCTTCAAACTACTTCTCAAAAGATTTAGCTCATGAGCACTTAGTGTGTGTGAAAATTCATAACAAGAAGTCTTGAGTTTAGACCTTCACACCTTAGCACTTATTATTATTTTTTTCTTTTTCCCCTTTTTTTTGTGTTCAGTTTCCTTAAGTTTTCTAAGTTATCCATGTAACGAGCTTTCTATCAATGACTCCCAAACCAGTTGGCTTTTAGGGCATTAGGTGCAGAGACACCCCTAAGAACATACTTACTCAAGTAACCAACACCACGAAACATTTGACTTTTCTTCTTTTTAGTTTTCAACCATACAACACATTCTTCCCAAAGTTATCACCCGTCTTTTAATGCAAATACTAACATTTATGATAAAAACACACAGTTACTCAACAAGTCATAAACTCAAAGTACTTTGCATACTCATATTTCAAGTCACTGTTTGACATGAAAGTTGACATGGGTCTCATGCCTAACCCCCAGTTACTGAGCAATAAAAACATTGGAGTAGCAATTAGCAAACTCTTTTGTGTGTTAGCCTCTTTTCTTCTTTTTCTCTTTTTTTTTTTTCTTTTTTGTGCTTTTTAGGTGCTGCTAAGTCTTCTCTCTAAACTTCTCACTACAAACTTGTGCTCAAATGAAATATAATACTCATGAACTTAAACTTTATCACAATGATGCTATTTTTCAAATTTTGTATCTCCTCTAAGATTCAAAGATTTTAGAAGTTTTTGAATTTTCAACTCAAGAATATTCAATTCCTTGACACTAATTGGACCAACTCCTAAAAAAATACCCTAATTTCTAAAAAAAGTGTGTCATGCAAATATGAATGCAACTAATGTAAAAATTGACACCAAAAGTTATTCTCTCCCCCAAACTTAAATCAAACATTGTCCTCAATGTAATAAAAAAGTGAAAGAAAAGAAAAACTTCTCAGG